TAAATTGTGCGTAAGTACAATTTATTAAAGCTCCATGTTTAAATTCGTGTAACTAACTACGGATAAACATAATTAAATAAAGAATAAACATCTCATTTTAAAATATAACTAGGATAATTATTAAGTTCTAACAAAATAATTAATTATTATCTTTATAAAAAATTGTATTATTAAACCAAATATAAATTATCTCGTTATTGAACCTAAATTAAACTATAATAAAAATTTTGAATTAAAAAATTACACAAAAAATGAAAAAATTTAAATAGTTAATTTGATATTAATATTGATATATATTTTACAATTTTTATGATATCTTCAATTTTATATTTTATTCAAAAATAAAACAGTATCGTTTTTTTTCCAAAATCATATAAGACCATATTATAACATCAACCGAAATAAAGAATAAAACGAAATATTAAAATCAATATATATCTCGCTGTATTGCACGAGTACCCTTCTAGTTATATTATAGAAAACCTATTAAATTGCTATTAAATGTTTCCTAGCGTATAAAACTGTATACCACCTAGAGGTGACCCATTTTTAACTAGTTTTGAAAAGATGAGTCTTTTAATGAAAAAAGAAACAATGTTTTAAAACAATAGACAAAGATTGTTGAGCAAAGGATACATGTTATTTCATGTGTCACAAAGCTTGGTTTACCAAATGTTAATTGAGTAGGAATCTTGGTCATCGAAATGACACAATAAAGTTGTTGATAAACATTTTTTACCCGGTAAACGCTAATCGAATAATAATCATCAACTTCACAGCTTCAGTTACCTAGTAACGTCAGTAACCCAGTAAGCACTTACCCAGTTAACATTCAGTAAACGACCTCTAAGTTGGCGTAACTCAAATTTGGTTGCCATACACCTTTCTTTGGGACACTCTTATTTTCATTTTCCATGATAACCGTGAGATATAATATGAGACGCTCGATAGGTTGGCTTCCGACACATCAACCGTTTCCGATTTTTTTTTGACACTTTGAAGGTGTGTTCCCGGTCACTTGAGTTTCTGGATCCGCTACTGACTGTCGAGATGAATCATTGACAACAATATCAACTTTCGATCTCAAGGCTTGGTTGTTTTAACTTATTTTGTCGTTTTAACTAAAAGCAGACGTGTCTTATTTATATATACGAGTGAAACGTTACAACTTACAAATTACAAAGTACCCGATACTAGTATCAACTTGGAATTACAATTTAAAAGGTTCACGTAAATATTCGAATCATATATTAAAAACGAATATATTATTTTGTAGCAATAGTAACTAGTCATGCGGTCTAGGCTTAGAGATCCATCCTTGATCCGAAGGTCCTTGGCCAGTTCTAAATCAGTCCCAAGTTCGGACTGATCAGCAATAGGCCATTCCTATCTGGTGATCCAGCCATCAACCAGAAAGGTGGCATTTGGTTAAGTGATTAGGACTAACCAGAAGTACACGATTCCTGATATGATGACCCGGTCGCCAATCAGAAAGAAGGTCCTTGGCCAGTCCTAATTAGGACCGGTTAGGATCTATCAAAAACGAGGGCCATTCTTGATCTGGTGAAGAATGGGCTCTTGGTTTCCTAGCCATCGGCGCACCTTGTTACTGAGCAACGATTTGCATGAAGTCTGCAAATCGGTCATCTTCAACAACATTTATCTTCAAATCACCGAGATCACTTTCATAGTAACTCCATAAATATGAAGTCTCTTCGTCACATATCACGTCTTCTAACAACGTTAAATTGGTCACGGAAGCCGGCAGTTCTTCTAATCCTCGACAACCGCTCATCTTGAGCACCCTTAAACCAGTTAGCTCCCCAAACTCATCAGGCAGTGAGTCTATACTCAAACAATCAGAGATATCGAGGAAGGTCAAACCATGGAGGTTTCCGATCGAGTTGGGTAATTTCGCTAACCTCGTACATGAATGAAGTCTAAGAATTTCCAAATTCGACAAACTTCCCAATCCTTTAGGAAGAGCATCGAGCTCGTGGCAGTTCGTGATGCTGAGTTTCTTAAGGCGAACAAGACTGCATAGATAGTCTGGTACCTTTTTCAGATCATAACAACGGTCAATCTCAAGCTCCGTGAGATTCGGTAGCATAGAACGAGCGTCCATTGTACAGGTCTCTAATGCGTTATCAATCTCACACATGATGAAGGAAAGCTTTCGTAAGTTCTTCACCTCGAAGATGGATTGGATTGAGGAAGAAATTGAGAGGTGTTCGAATCTCATCCGTCTTAATCTGGATAGAGAACCGATCAATGGAAGTTCATGTAGCTCAGAAGGACAAATCCCGTAGCTTGTGACGTTTAAAACCTTGAGTTGACTCATATTCTGGATGAACTCGGGGAGCGTATACTTTTTACTTTGTATGTTCAATACAAAAACTTCGACTTCTGGTGCTTTTAGATCATACCAAGAAGAGGCAAACGCTTCATCTGCAGATAGAAAGTTGAAGTACAGTTAGGCTATGTTCGGTAAGCTAGCCGATAAGCTAGCTGAAAAGGTGTTGTTGGCTAATAAGCTAGTTGTTAGCTGATATTTTAGTCATATTTGGTATAAAAAAACTAGCTAAAAAGATGGATGAACATGTAAAATGGTCTAAAAGGACATATTGAAGTAGTTTGAAAAATACAAGGGACATATTTGGAAAAAAAAAAACTTAAAAAATCCACTCAAGCTTATTAAACTGCTATTTGAAGTAGCGTTTCAAAAAGCTTATCAGGGATTTTTCAATAACCTCAAAATATAATCTAGCTTATGGTTGCCAAATGACCTTATTTGACGGAGGATATTAAAACAATCCTAGAAAATGGTTGTTTTCGTGATTTAATTAAAGAAAAGGCAAACAGAAACCTGTTGTAATAGACAAGAGGCGGGTAGCGATAGGTTGTTGCGATTGTTCAATCCACCATGCGGGTATGTCATTTCCATGAATTTCGATTATTAATCGTTCTCTTTGTGATATCGGACCTTGGCTGCTCAGGTGTATCGCTAGCTCTCTCAGTAAATCGTGTTGTGTGACATAATGCTCGTTACAATAGCCTTCTAGTTCACTAGCATCTTTCCTGAAAAATTTCAAACGAAAATCAATCGACCATCAGGAAATGAAAATACACCTTTTATATTATGCCTAAGTCTGACAACAATAAGATATCGTATTTTTTGAGTTCATTGAAAAACCCCGTTTAGTTAACCATAACCAGCTAATAAGCTAGTTTTTTAAAACGCTACTTGAAGTAGCTTTTTAATAGCTCCATGGCTTTTTCCACTTTTTTCGAAGTATGATATTTCAACTTGTTCTTTTAGGTCATTTTACAGCATCATCGAGCTTATCAGCTAGTTTTTACATATCTATTTATCAGTCAACAACTAGCTTATCAACTAGTTTGCCAAACATAGCCTATATATAATAATTTTATACCTTGTAGGAATGAAACTCAGAAGATTTCTTGAAGAAAGCTCAAGAAGGTATTCACTGGTATACATTCCTTCTTCGTCTAAATTATACAACTCCACCCACATATCCATAAGAGCAGAGGCTGCAATCTTTTCATCTTCAGGGAACGAACCTAAATCAAGAAAACAGTCTCTGGCTATCGGCAACTCTTCGAGTGCATCAACACTGGCCTGAAGACTAAGCAATAGGCGGGTGCTTGAATCGAAAATGGATTGACCTTCAGACCATTTCTTCAAAGTGGTTCTCCACTTGACCTCATTTTGCCCACATAATGATGCACCAATCACCGTAAGGGACAATGGAAACCCTTTGCAGCATTTGACCATCTACAACGAAAACCACAAGAGGTTCAGTCCTAACCGTAATCATGTAAAATGGCTGGTTTGTAAGGATCAAGAAAATGTAATTATATTTACCTTGGTCACAAGATCATCTCGCACATTCAAGATCTCACCACAGGGAAATGCGTAATGGCAAAAAAGGGTCCTTGCATCCTCATCATTTAACAAGCTCAATTCATATGTGGAACCAAACCTTGGAAACAAGAATCTTGATGTGACCAAGATTTTGTATCCCGGGATTGGGAACTTAAGATCCTGAATAAGTGACACAGATTCAGACCACACGTCATCCAGGACCAGCAATATGTTTTCCGATCCCATTTGCCTCATCAACAAGTTCTCGAGTTGATTCTTCGCTTCTTCATCAGTTTGAAACTCACAACGGTCTACATGAAGATGATGTACAAATAGTTTCTGGACGACGCTTTTAAGGGTCGCCATTCTAGAAACAGTAACATAAAAGATGTTGTCCCCAAAAGTGCCTGTAAAAGCAGATTCAACGGTCATTATGAATGTCACTATCTATATATTAACAATTTACTGTAACATTTACATAGGAGAGTTAGAAATTCATCATGCTTAGTCTAATAGAAAGATGGAAATTGAATCCAACCGGACAGCCCGAAGCAGCCCAACCGAATAACCTCACAATCAACTTAAACCCATGGGGGAAGTTATCAAGGGACGGTCTGTTACAAATCCCCAACTTAATTCCTATAGTCCTCGCCAGGTCTTCCAAGCTTCCTCCTTGTTCACTAGTGATGTGAGATTCACCTAAGATGTTACAAACACCTCCTCAGGGACTCATCTTGCTCGATGAGTTTTACCCTGCCATTCCAATGGTAAAGGATCGGCTCTGATATCAGTTGAAACATCCCATAGCCCAAAACAACAGATTCAAATGATAATCGAATTTGATTATTATTAGATATATAAAGAAGAATAAGCTCAATAGTCTATACCTTTAATTTCATTATCATGACAAACCATCTTTGCCAACGTAGTCTTCCCACAACCTCCGGGAGCTGAAACCGTCAACACCTGGTTATCATCTTTGAGCAGCCTACGCTTCAATTCGTCAAGATGATGATCCAAGCCAATGATGACATCCGGGAGCCCCGGAACACTGCAAGAACCAGAAAATCCACCTGCCCGTTCGGTGACGGCTGCAAGAACTTGATCCAATTTTTCTCCCAAAGCATAAATCTCAATCAGACCCCTCCTGCTAACACTCATCATGTTATCCTCCATTCCAGTCTGGAAGAACCTCTGTAGCTCATTATCCAATCGAATGAGCTTATTAGCATGAACAAATTTCTTGTAGACCTTCCAGCATTTGATGGTTGAGCACATTAGAACTAGATCTTTCGCATTCTCCAGATAAAATATGAACATTTTGATCTCGTTTTCAGGACGATCCAACACTTTCCCCAAATTTCCACTTCCATAAACCAGTGGTTCAATGGTTCTTAGTGTTTTGTCGAGGCGCTTGAGTAGGGTTTTGAATTTGGCAGTTCGTTTGATCTTTGATGCAACTGCTTTGACTAATTCTCCAAAGACGGTTTTCAAAGCTAACTCATTAGCATTTGTCACCATCTGAAAAAAACCACAAACCCTAGAAATCAACTACCTACTTCAATGTCGAATTCGGATTCATCAGTGTGAAATAAAGACGAGATAAAGCATGATATACAATAATTGTGACTAGAATCCAACGGATTATAATTTCAGCCTTAAACGAACATACTTTCAAACTTGGAAACATCAAGGATTTCTTGGAGTGTAAAACGAGTATTGATGCGTGTCAAACACCGATGATTGTTTATAGTGATGACTGATGGAAGCAAGAACACGATACTTTCTTTTGCAGTGTTAACGGCGAAAGGGGTCGAAGGTCGCCGGAAGGTTGGTTGCCGTGTTGACGGTGACGGACGTTTTCCAAAAACCGTTTTTAATTTGGCGCACAGTCTGTTTTATAATCTCCTTTTAAACTTTTAGAGAAAATTTTAAATCTAGTCCCTAAACTATTCTTAATCTACAAATTTAGTCCATTGCTTTTTTTTTTCCTGTTTCAACTATACGTTCATAATATTTGAACAAAAGATTAATTACCGGCAACAACGAGTAGTCCCATACGAAACCCACCTCTAGAAACCACATGCGAAGAGACATTTCAAAGTTGACTCGACGACTGAGGACTAACTGAGGAGTTCGAGCTCGTCTCGAATCAATTTAAGCAAAATCGGTCAACCCATTTGTCAACTAAGGTAGACGCCTGAGGGCTCATTCTATTATCGGTATTGATGCAAAAACATATTTTGTGTCAAAGAAACAACGTTTGTTTTTTGGGTTATCCCATAAAATCCAACATTTTCTCTTTTGACGAATTTTGGATCTAAACCTGTTCTTGTTTATTAATATTCAAGACTTGAAATCAATTTTGGCTTTAGTATATAAATTTTCTATATATTATCTCTTTATCAATGGGTGTCGATGTAAGGATATAATGCTGATATAAAACGTTTTTCATGTAAAGTCATCGAATAAAATCTGATTCCGTTTTAGAATCCACATGACAACTACATAATCACAAATGTAAAGTTTTTACCTTTGTCTCTTACGACTTCAAGTTCGCCACGTGTACAGATTTGCGTATCGAACACCTTTAACTGATAAGCTCTTTTTTATCAGCTCTCGAGCAAAATAACTATGGTTTGTTGTCAACGGTATCAATTTTAAAAAAATAACTACGCTCACAGAACGCTGATCGAAAAGTTAGGACTTTCTTTAGAATATGAGTGCTAGATTCTTTTTAGGGATTTTCACAAGTATGGAGAGTTGTATATGCGACCCCCTTATATAGGCTGAAGGGAGAGTTTGAAATGTCAGATCTAATGTGTTCCCATTTGTCTATTTTGGTCCTTTTAAATTACTAAACATTTAGATTTCTTAAATTTAAATATTTTATTAATTACTGGAAGGATATATGCATAATGTAACGAAATATATTTCGATTTTAATGTTTTATTTTATTTTTTTGGTCTCTTTTGATGTTATGATATGAATTTATGTGGTTTTGAACAAGTAATAATGTTTTTTCTTAATAAAATATAAATTTGAAAATATCATAAAGATTAAAAAATATATAAAAGTTCTCATTTTTTGTGTAATTTTTTTAATTCAATTTTTTTTTATTATAATTCATTTTATGTTTAATGACGAAGTAATTTATTTTTGGTTAATAATATAATATTTATGAAGATAATAACTAAGTATTTTGTTAAAACTCAATAATTATTTTAATTTTATTTTAGATTTTATATTCAAAATAAGAATTTTTTCTTGTATTTGATTATATTTATCTACAGTTAGTTACACGAATTTAAACATGAAGCTTAATAGGTTGTACTTACGTACAATTTACTTGTAATCTTGAATTTTAAGTAATATGTATCAATAAGCAGTATTTCATGTATAAAAGATGGTTTTTAAGAGTTTTTATCAAATGTTTTCCGACGTTGTATTGTATGAATGAATCAAACATAAGTGTAACATTAATGGGCCATTTACTAATTGCTTACTCGGATGAGCGCTTATCAAGTCATATTTCCTTACCGGATGAATATGACAAGGACCAAGAATCTTACCTGGTAAGAGCGAAGGCATGAATCGAGAGTCTTACCCAGTAAGTGATGACGACAACTCTTACCATGGTTAGCTTACCGGGTAAATTGTTACATTCGATATCGTTTCGGTAGACTAAAATCTTACACGATAAGTAAGAAATAGAGTCAAACACTCCAAAATCTCTGTAATCTAAACTTCAATTTGATCTTCACTGTAGCTAATTAGTTCATATAATGTTATTAGTAACATAAACGTATTATCGACAGGGCACAAACTAACAATTAACTTGTGGACTTTTATCGCAAATGAGAAGCCTAGATGTTATTATATCATTTTATAAAATATATCAATTTTTCATAACAAACGTCTAATGGAGGTCAATAGTTCAAACCTCACCAAAGGTAGAGATGAATGTATGAGTTTATTTGTTCTATTTATCGTATATAAATATTATATACTTCAAAAAAAGACAGTAAACTTTATTTCAATGGACTTAATTAGCGAAATTTTGGATACCACAGTTTCCAAAATATACGTTTGAACGATAATAACATTTTTATCAAAACATACTCCAAGTCGAAGATGAAAAGGGTGTAATGAAGGAATAAGTAAATGCTTAAGGACTGGTTTGGTCCTAAACAGATCAGTCTTTTCTAAAAGGAGATCGCCCATTAAAAGACTAAATCGGGCCTTGACGGGTCGTTGGTGTTAAAATTTTAGGACCAAATCGTAAGAAATAAAAAGCAGTTAAACTGTGACATTGTAAATTCATCAATTCTTTTAACATCTTCGGTTTTTATCGTATCGTCTTGGATACTTTTCATATTCTTCATTGTTTTGCACCTTCTTCGCTGACCAAATTAAGCATCGTTTAGATAAAAGATAGTCAGTATCCTTTCTAATAAATCCTCGACTCCGTTTGTGTTCCATGTTAGGTTTAAAAACCGAGTGACACGATAAAACGGAGGATGCATCTTTAAAATCTTTTATAATTTTCTCTCACGTTAATTTTTCTATTGACGACCACAAATTTATGGTCTTTTTTTTAATGTTTAGTCAATAAAAATAGTTGGGCTAAAAGCAACAAACCTCGACCCTTTTTTTGGTTTTGACCATACATTTTGGGGCTTTGACTTAGCCCTTTTTTTGGTTTTGACGGGGCTTTTTTGGGTTTTGACCGAGCATTGACTAGACCCATTTTCAGATGTATCCTGATTTATATATTCAAATAAAAACCGGTCCTAAATTCAAAATTTAGGATCAATACTAACATTTGTCCATTGACATTCATCCATATCCAATTACATATGGATTGTCCTATCTATGCATGATGCAAATGGATATACATGCATTTGACATTCATCCATATCTCTTGATCCATTTTTTTTTATTAACCTAGATATCCAACCCGTTATGTGAGCTGATTAATCTCAGTGTGACCACCTGTTTTGCAAATAGCCCGAAGTCACCTCATTTGAACCTCCGTGGCCACAAGGGGATTTTTATTCCTACTTGGATTTGAACCTGAGACCTCCAAGTATTTTTTATATTTGGAGCGAAGCTAAAACCAATCAGGCACCACCCTTGTGGTTTATCTCTTAATCCATTGAAGTGCCACTTTATACATATTCTTGTTATGAAAATGAGATATTTGATTTTTACTTTCTGATCTTTTATTTCAAAAAAAATATTTGAAACTAAAGAAGATTGCTATTTTAATTTATCTGATATAGTCAACTAAAAAACAAAGTAAGTAAAAAAGTCTTATAATATTCGATATCAAAATACCGTATTCTCGTTTATGAACAACTGAAGCCGTGAGAAAATTATCTGAAGATGTTAAGAATTTTACAACAAAATTATAACCTACTTTAAACGACTAAACCACAGATTTATTACGATACAGTCGTCATCATCATCATCATCATCATCATCATCATCATCATCATCATCATCATCATCATCATCATCATCATCATCATCATCATCATCATATTTAGCTTCCGTTTCACAATTGTCTTGTGTGACATGGGGTTGTTAAAGAGATCATGACTTTCTATGATGATGTTTCTTGATTCATGTAAACCAAGTAAATGTAACGATGACACGTATTTTCTCATGTTGTTTTACTGTTATCGTGTTTTGTATTATGTCAGTAGAGTTGAAAACATCACTCGATCGAAACAGAAACCGAATGAAGGAAGCGAAGATCTGAGTCAAAATATGTCGTGGAGAAGAGATTACTTATGAGCGGAAGACGAAGTCACAGGAGAACTTGTGGCTGGACTGAATCTTTCTCTAACCAAGAATACGAATGTCCTTGTTTCACACATATTCTGCTATAATTTAACTGCAATTATGATGTCCGTTTGACATGTCTTCTGTTGTAATTTAGTTGTAATTTCCGTCTCATATCCTACTTTCATAATTTAGATATGTTTAGACTTGTTTAAATTGTTAAAATATCCAGATATTATAACGTGTTTACACAAACAACGAAAATGTCATCGTCTATCGTACACGGTTGGCAAGTCTTTTTGAAGTATTCTTTGGCTTTCCATGATGTGCCCACGTTTGTTTTTAATTTCAATTACGTAACACTTGGATTCTTTCAGGGGGATGATTTGGAAAACATTGCATAGTAATGGGGTCATTCCAACACTTCTCTAAACACAAAGGACTAAATATGTAAAATGTAAAGAATAATTGTACACACCTTTCTCCGCTGGTGCTTTATCCCGCGTTGGAACATGAAAATGAAATTAAGAAATTTGTTCAACTTTGATCCCTAATGTTTTTAATTTGTAACAGATGTTATCTCTAAAATATAAAAACTCCGTTTTAGTCCTTTATATTTGTCAATTCCTAACGGTTTTGATCCCTCTGTCTAATGATCATTAACTTTCTCCGTTAATTTCAATTAAATAGGGGTTATTTTAGTTAGTTCCAACAAAAAGCATTTTAGCACATCGACTAGGGATGGCTTCTAGTTATATTATATCACTTTAGCTCTTTTAGCACATCATATAGAAATGGCCTCAGTGTCTATGTTGCTCTGTCATTGAATGTTGATATGATCTTAAACCAGTTACGTTCCTGTTATCTACTGAAATTTGTATAATCTTGTGTTTCAAAAGATTATGTTGCATAAATAAACAAATAATTTGTAAAATCATTTTACAGACAACTTTTTTTTACAAGCCAGATATCTTTAAAACAACTTTTTGATCCCTTGAAATAAAAGCAAAGTTTGCGTACTTTTATTCTAT